TTTCCAACTAGACATGAAATCGACTTTCGTACATGGAGATCTAAAAGAACAGGTATTGAACAATCTCCAGGTTATATTAAGGTTAGAAATGAACATAAAGTGTATAGACTAAAGAAGGCCTTGTATGGTTTAAATCAAGCTCCACATACCTGGTATGGTCGAATTGAAACTTATTTTTTGAAAGAAGGTTTTCAAAAATGTCCGTATGAACACATATTTTTTATAAAATTGGAAGATAATAGGAGGGTGCTTATAGTTTGTCTTTACATAGATGATTTAATTTATACTGGTAATGATACAGTTATATTTAAAAAGTTTAAGAAATCTACGATGACCGAGTTTGATATGAGCGATCTTGGATTGATACAACATTTTTTTGGCATAGAAGTGACTCAATCTGTTGGTGGCATATTCATTTCTCAAGAAAATTATGTGCAGGAGGTCTTAAATAGGTTTCAGATGAAGAATTGCAATCCTACTAGTACTCCAATGGATACAAGAATGAAGTTTGTTAAAAATTCCTGAAGGAAAGACTGTAGATAGCACTGTTTACAAGCAGATTGTGGGAAGCTTGATGTATTTAACCACCACAAGTCCAAATATTATGTATGTTGTCAGCGAAATCAACAGATACATGGAAAATCCTAAGGAATTACATCTTCTTACTGCAAAAAGAATTCTCTGATACTTGCTAGGTATTTCCAAATATGGACTGCTCTACAGGAATGATAAGAAATCAAGTCTATTTAATTTCACAGATAGTGATTATGTTGGAGATTTAGATAATATAAAAAGTACGTATGGTTATGTTTTCTTGATGGGAACAACAATAGTTTCATGGTCTTCCAAAAAGCAATCAATAGTGACATTATCAACAACTGAAGCCGAATATGTAACTACTGCAACATGTGCTTGTCAAATAGTCAGGTTAAGAAAGATTCTTGATGAGCTTCACTTCAAGCAAGAAGGACCTACTGATAATAGATAACAAATTAAATTATCTAAGAATCTTATTCTACATGGAAGAAGTAAATATATAGATGTAAAATTTTACTTCGTAAGGGATCTTACAAAACAAAGAGTAATTGATCTCAGCTATTGCAAGAGAGAAAATCAAGTGGCTGACATTCTGACCAAGCCTTTGAAGTTGTCTGCATTTGAGAAGTTAAGAGAGTTACTAGGAGTTGGCACTATGAATCATTATTAAATTGATAGTTTACAAACTTTCAGTTTAAGGGAGAGATTGTTGACTAGTTAGAATTTATCTTTGACTAGAATTCTCTAATTTAGTTGTTGTATAATCCTATTAATTAGGAATAAGTTAATTAGCTCTTATCTTGTTAGCTGTTCTTATTTTGTAAACTGATATCTTGAGCTTTTCTGCTATAAGTGTTGTTTAAAAAAGTGTGCAGCTCGTTGAAATAATATATGAAAGTTTCTGACTTTTTTATTTTAGCAAGTGTTTGCTAAAATTTCTCTTAAATATTTTCTTTATTTTTCAATTCCAGAATTAACAACGACAAGGAAGGAGACATTGTGTTTGGCATACAAAAAAAAAAAAACTAGGCTTTTAACATCAAGCTTTGAAGTATTGACTCTCGTGTGGTCGAATGGAGAAAAAGTTAATGAGAGTGGATGCTAGTGTGATGGGAATGAGACATTGAGCTTATAAATACTTATAGTTTATTATTTTTTTTACAGTAAAAATAATAAATAAAAATTGTTATCAAACAGAGCATATAAAAATGGTTTAGTTATTTTCTTATAAATTTAAATTTTAATTAAATTATGATAGTAATAATAAAAATTATTATCACATAACAAATATAAATTTTTACATAGTTTTGAAATAAATAGAAATTGGAAACACATAAACTAAAGTCGCCAGAGTTTGGTGGGTCATTCGTTAGCTCTTATCCTATATGGGCACTTGAGAGACAAAGGAAAAAAAAGAAAAGGACAAGCAGATGGAAAGTCAGCAGAAAGAAAAGGCAATACAAGGGGTGGGAACCGCATCACATGTGCTACCTTCCCCGCCTATTCATTCATCAAAACTCACCGTTTCTTTTCTACTTTACTTAAAATATTCCTCTTCGGAATGTACTTGCATCATACATATTTTCTAATTTATTATTATTATTATTATTATTTTTTAATATAACCCGATATATATTTGTATTTGTATTTGTATTAGATAAAAGTCGGAACTTCGATACTCTATTTTTATAAAGATTGAAAAGTACATACGGGTTAAAAATTACACGCTGACTTCAAAGAGTTTTAAAATTAAGTTCCCTCTCTCTCTCTCTCTCTCTATTCTTCATCACCATCACCATCACCATCACCATCACCATCATCAAACACATTCTTACCCATGTTCTAATCACACGCCATATAGCATCATGCATATATATATACATGGCCAAATCTTGTAGTAGATTAAATATTAGGTAGCCGGTCATTTTAGTGATGCTTTCTACACTTTCCATTCCTCAAGTAACAGTATCATCATGACATTTCACACGTATATGTGCCCCCAGAAGTATTCATGATCCCGATATTAAATTGGTAAGTTCGGTTAGAACAAGGTCAAATTAATTGAGATATAAGTTTATAATTGATCCGAAACTTGATTAAATATTTTTTTATATTTATTAAATACTCATAAAATTATGTAAAAAAAAAAAAGATTTTAAAAAATTACACTTTTTTTAAAGTTTTTTTTTATTTTATTTTAATAAGTATAATGATTTTATCCGACTTAATTAAAACAGAAAATTCTTAATTAATATTTTAATTAGCAAACAGAGAAGTCATCATCATCAAAATACTAATAAGAGCAACTCTTCCGTATGATAATCTTACAAGTATGAAATGAACAGCTCAAGTACGTTTAATTTTTTATTTATTGGTTTTAAAAAGATGTATTTTGTTTATAAATGGTTTTGATTTAAATTCGAGTTTATAATAATAAATAAATGATGAGGGGGTAGAATGATCTGGAACGTAGAAAATCGATTAGATAGGAAAAAAACAGACGAGAACAAACCCCAAAAAAAGCAAAAAACAACCAACCAGACAACACATTATCAGCTTGGATTCTCTGCATAAACCATTTGCGACATCAGGAGTTTCAGCTCCAATTCTCTACTAGAAAAATAATTCAGGTACTGGAGAATCAAGAAGCGAAGAAGAACCTGCAAATGCGCCCAAATTGCTGTCATGTTTCCTTTGCTTTCTTGCTTAAATTCCTCAATTTTCTTCAAGCTTTTGTTGGACTCTCCATCATAATTTACTCCATATGGATGCTCGATCAGTGGCACCGCCACATCCCTTTCCCTCCTCCTTTGCCTCCTTCTCCCGATTCTTCTTCTCATCTCCTTTTTTTAAGTTCGCGAGCTCAAGAAACGAGGGTTTCTGATCACGTCAATCCCTTGTTCGCTGCTGATGTGGTTTCTGGCTTCACTAATACCCTTGGGTTCGATTTGAACTCTTTCAATCTTCCTGCTCCATGGTAAAACCAAAATAACTTTATTAAACTTTTTTCCTTGAAACACATAAATGGGTTTTCTAATTTGAACCGTGTTTGTGTCTTTTCCGTTATTATTTGGCAATTTGAATTGGGTGTTTAGAATTGGCTTTTTTATTTGTTTCCTCCAAGTAGCTGAAATTAATGATGTAAATGTAATTTATGTAATTATTTCGTTTTCATTAATTAATTGAATCACGTCAGAGAAAGGGAAAGAGGGGTTCTAAATTGGTAAATAAACTTAGTAGCTTTATTGTACTGTGATTTGAGACGTGAATATAAATTATGTTTCGTGATCGGCTTGGTGTGTCTTTGATTTTTCAATCGGATGCAGTTGGAAAATTACTTACTACTGTAGCTAGTTTCTTATACTCTGTTGTGTCGACCTAATGAACTGGTACTAGACCACGTTATCATCTGTCTAGACCATTTGAATTAAAATATCCATCCATTTTTAATTTTATTAATCTTAACTAGCATATTAATTAGGCGACCATAAAAAAAATTCTCTTTTTCCCCCAGTCGGTTCATATAGGCTAATGATAGATAATAATTTCCCCTCCCCCCCAGCGGATGAGTACAATTTACAATTTTCATTGTACTGTACTCTCCAAAGAGTAACTTTTATCAAAATCTTAAAAGCTTTCGAGTTGTAATCCCATTCTAAATAAGGATTCTCCTGGTTCTTGAGGATCCAGTTAAGGAAATAGAAATAGAGAGCTTTACCTTCCTTTTTCGTCCAATTTTTCAAATGTTGGTCTTTAAGAGTGAGTAATAACTTTTCTCTGATGCTTACTGTCCGAACTGGAAGCGGACACTTAAATGCATTTCACTTATTGAACAATATTCTATAATCGGTCAGCGACCCCTAGACATTGTAGGTGTCACAGGGTGATCTCGGAGTTCCTGTGGGGTGGAGACAATGGGGTCGATTCATGTTAAGACTTCTCGGTCAGCTGTGTGCAAAATTAAATATCAAGTGTTATGTATTACAAATGATCTGCTAAGCTAACTGAATGTTACTGAAATTTATGAATATTATTGTGTGGTTGTTGGAGCTTAAAGTGAGAATGAAGCACTTAAATTGGCTGTTTTATGGTGGCAGGTTTATCTACTCTTTTATGGGAGTTGGCATTTTGCAGGGCTGCATTACTTTCATTGGTTGCATGGCAGCTGAAACTATCAGCGGATGCTGCCTGTGCTCTGTATCCTACTTTTATGAGGCTGAATCAATATATCACATATCTTATGTCAGCTAAGAAGCTAGCCAACAGCTATTGTAGTTTATACTAAATAGAGTATACGTGAGTTAATATTATTTTACACGTGGTTATTTTATGTTTGTCACTAAGAAATGATGCTAAAAAGAGTAAATTATTAATCTTAAATGTTATGCTTACTATTTGAAAGCTCCCTGGCAACCTTTGCATTAACATAAGATAATGTGCTTTGAAATGTTATTTTCTCAATTTCTGCATTTTCCCAACGAAACACATCTGTAGATTTATGAACTTTCATGGAAAATCCTGATAGCATTTTGATGGTATGTGGACGTCTAAGCACAATTGAGCTTGCACTGGAAGTTAGGAAAAGTTTTATTTACCGTGCTTTTTAATCTGCTTCCCTTAACTTTGCAAAATTATTAGTATGCTCTACTCACAATTTTACTTATTCTACTAGAGGCAGCATTAGTTGGATTTATTGCAATTGATCGCCATTGGGAAAAGGTAAAATTCTTGGATGAAGTTAGCTTAGCCATATGCAGTTGCTTTCATTACGTCTTAAATAACCAGTTCAAGTCATACATTTGTAGGATCTTCCATATGACCCAACCGGAGAACTTAGTAGCTTACGATCTTTCATTGAGAACAATGTTGACATATGTAAATGGGTTGGGATATCAGTGATCATAATTCAGGTATGCTCTTGTCAATACTAGTCATGGTTGTTTCCTTCTTATAATTTTTGAAAATAACTTGAGAGTCAATTGTTTACCTACCTCATTTAAGATTCATAAAAAATGGACCTGGCAGTGAGATTTGCCAGTTACTGCTCTTAAACAGGCAATTTAGTTACATTCCCTAATTGCACTATGTTTGCGTGCATTGTGATTTTTTGAAATGGGTCTTGTCCTTATTTTCTTTATAAGAATTTTGTTGCATGGGAGTTATAGGTTACATGAATCGAGTATGAATGAGATTTTTCTGATTATGGCTCTCAAACAGGCAATTTAGTCACCTTCTAAATGTGGCCACCTTTGCTTTTCTTTAGAAGGAAAGAAGGCTATCTGTATTCTGAATTCTTTAAGTGGGTCATGATTATGTGGTTGAGTGGAAGGTATAGGTTAAAAGAATGGAACTTGAAATTTCACATTTGGAGTTCCTTTATGGATAAGCTAGTGACGGTGTTCTGTGAGATTAAGGGACTTGTTGTCTTCTGTAGTTTCATTTGTGATCTCGAAGGCTCTAAATCTGAGCCTTAGTCTCATTTATTCAGGAAAAAATTGCTTAACTATGCATTTGAAGTTTTGACTCCTTTTCAACCAAGCGGTTTTCTCCGTATGGTCATTTCTTCATGCCATCTTATTTTGGTGAAGTTCCTTTCCTAGTTTTTCCCAATTCACGCAATTGGTAAGGATGAAATACGTAGGGAAACCAAAAGAAAAGAGAGTATTGGCTCATTTTCTTTTTGGAAACCAATACTTTTGAAGTTGTTGGAGTTGAGCACGTGTGTCTTTTAGTTGAGCCAATTTTCACTTTGTACTTGATGTATGTAGAATACATGTGTTATGTTTAATAAAGTATTTTTAAGAGTAAAGGAGCTATTTTCTCTGATATAATGATAGCGATTGTTCTTAAAAACTCAAAACCTCTCTTCTTTCTCAAAAATCTCAAAAATCTCCAAATCTCGCTTCCTTCCATTGCCTGAAAATTTTTAGATCGTTCTTCCTTAAATATCTTCCATTATTATTGACATATCCACTCTTTATAGCATGTCTCTTAGCCCAAAAATTCTTTGTTTTCCAGACAGTGGGAGTTCCCGCTCCTATGTGGACACAAGGGTGGCCAAATAGTTGGAGGATAGTATCATGAACTTGACACCCTGTCAAAAAATAATCAATAAAGGAGAATACGCGGGGTTTAAGTGGAGTATGCAAAATCACTATTTCTGCTGTACTTTTCAGTGTGTTAGACATGGGCTGTTAGGATATTATTTTGGGAGTGGACTAGATAAAGCAGGAGAGTCCTATGAACTACGATTTTGTTCCCCGAGCGTGAGTTTCCTAATGAATCCAAAGGAGATTGTATTGCAAGAGGTTACCAACTCTCACAACTTATGGGCGGTTTCACATGAAGAGTTAAACAAGTTGATTAATAGTTGATGTCAGACTAATAATGGATTGGTGTTCTGTGTTTGGGAAGCCAATTTCCAGAATCCAGGCACGAGTGGAATAGTGGCGAAATACTACATTCCGGAAAAATTAGATTCGATTTCATTGATTTTGGCGTACTCTTTGCTGAACTAGATAGTTTACGGCGCATCAGCAAGTATGATCACTCCATTCCGCTGAAGGCGGGCAACCAACCAGTGAGTTTGAGGCCATATAGGTATCCCCATGGACAAAAGATCGAAATTGAGTTGCAAGCTAAAACAAACGCTTTCCAGTTCAATTACAAGACATAGTTCTTTTGTAAACTTGCAGTTAAATTTGTCGGTCCATATGACATTGGGCAGAAGGTGGGACCTACTGCCTACAGGCTGAAATTGCTGGGAGACTCTAAAATATCCACTATGTATTTCATGTTTCTCATTAAGGAAGTATTACTAGGGAAAGTAGATCTGTTTTGAGAAATTGTCTGAATTAGATCAGCAAGGGTTGTTCCATGTGCAACCCTTTGAGCACTACATGAGAGAACAGTAATTCTGCAAGGAAAGTCAGTGAATCAGGTGCTAGTCCAATGAGAAAATCTACTGGAAGAAGACTCTACTTTGGAGGATGTCCAGGATCTAGATTCTCGTTTTCCTTATTTTAACCTTTGTGGACAAGGTTAGTCTTGAAAAGGAGATATTCTGAGGAACATAGATGACACAGTAACTAAGCAGACAGAGGTCAGCAATGCATAATGCTCTCAAGGTCTATGAGAGAAGAGGTCATCATCACGTTTTTGTTATAGCAATTCCAGATTGTTCCTAGTTTGCTACGCATTATCTGGTGTATGATTGGTACAAAACCATGTAATTGGAGAATGCTTGTATGCTCAATCATTACACTGAAAAATTGGAACGAAATCAGCGGTCATCTGAAATTCTTCTTCAAAATTCTCTTTATTCTTCTCTCTATCTCTCTCTCTCCTCTCTCCTCTCTCTGATTTTGTTTTTTCTTCTTTCTCAATAGATTTATGTAGCAGATACCTCAAATTCGCATTAGGCTAGAGGATGAATGGAAAGTAGCACTTAAGACTCATTATGGGTTATTTAAGTGGTTGGCTCTGCCATTCAATTTAAGTAATGTCCCTAGCCCTTTATGAGAGTCATGGCACATATGCTACACCCTTACGTTTGAAATTTCCTAGTCGTGTACCTTGATGATATATTGGTCTAGAGTGAGACTTAAAGGGAGCATCTAAGTCACTTGCAACAAGTTTTTCGCACTCTTAGGGATGCTAAACTCCGTCTCTTTGGAGACATCTGGTAAAATTGAAACGATACAGAGAGATGCTTAACTCTAGGCTAACTTGAGGAAGTGTACATTTATACAAGAACAAGTCCTCTTCCTAAGCTGTCAATATTTCTAGGAGTCACAACAGACAGAATTAAAGCCATCCTAGGTTGGTTTAAGCCAAAAACTATTCTTCAAATGTGTACTTTTCATGGGCTAGCCATCTTTTGTAGGAGGTTTATTAGAAGGTTTAGCTCTATCATGACTCCTATTATAGATTTTCTGAAAAAGGAAGACTTCAGATGGACTACTACAGTCTCTAGAAATTCTAGAAAGATCAAACAGAAAATAGCTTAAACCCCTGATTTGAGGCATCCTGATTTTTCGGAAGTTCTTGAAGTAGCTTTTGCTGCTTCTGGTACTGAAAACTAGTGGAGTTTCAAGTCGAGAAGGACACCTTGTGTCATTCTTCAGTGAGAAAATTAATGAAGCAAAATTAAAATATTGTACTTATGGTAAGGAGGTTTATGCTATCTTGGAGGTATAACCTCTCATGCAAGGTGTATGGTCCAATCTCTTCATCTTGGTGGTATTTTCTTCTGAAGCAAGAATTTTTTCTATATTCTGTTAGCATTACGATACTTAAATTGCTCAAGAGAAGTTGAAATATGGGTCCAAGTTTCTGAAGGAATACATCTCTGCACTTCAGTTTACTGCATATCTGCTATTGTAGTATTTCAATTTTCTCTTCTCTGATACACATTTTTACTTTTTATCTTTTTCTTTTTCAGGCATTATCGCTGCTACTAGCAATAACTTTAAGAGCCATGGTTTCTACCCGAAAACCTGATTTTGATGACGAGGATGATTATGAGGGTGGTAGGGGTAGAACTTGGGAACCACTTCTTAATCCACAATCAAGCCAAGTATCCGGCTCAAGCAAGGGTGATGGCAGAGGAAATCACTCTGATATTTGGAGCTCTCGGATAAGAGACAAGGTATACATTTTTCAGACTAATCACATGCTCAAGAAATTTACGGAAATGCGAGAAAGATAGATATGGAATATCCAATAGAGAACATAGAGGGGAAGCTCATATTAGTTAGTGCGAATGATTAAGTTGAATTACTAAATGTCCGAAAAGTTTAAGTTACTATGAAAAAGTTCAACTTCATTATTTATCTTCTGACGCGCTTCTTTATGTTGAAGTTTATTAGGCTGCAACAAAGGTATGGATACTCTGTGCTAGGTTGAAAGTGCATGTCCATCATTCTTTATGCTGAAATTTTATTTTAATAGAAAAAGAATAGGCAGGATTGAAACTTTTGACTTCTGACTTGAATACATGTGAAGAAATTAACTTGGGTGAATATTTATATCTTAATTCGCTCTATTGTTTAATTCTAACAGTTTAGATTAGTTTATGGCTTCTTTTCTTGAGTTAGAAGTCCCTCAGTAAATTTGGTGCATTTAAGGATCCATCACATAACTAATCTAGTGAAGTAAGTAATATGACGAGGCTAGTCCCTTCAGTTTATCATGATTTAACCATCACAGTGCGAGTTGCAAGTAATTCAGTTATCTGCAATCTTAGCCGCTAGTTGGTATGATGAGGCTACAGCCTTAAAGTCTATCATGGACCTTGTAGCTAGCATATCATAATAAAATTTTCTGAAATTTAGCCTCTGATTCAATATCAGTGCATCAAATCTAAAATTTCTTTCAAGAATAACAAAGAACCTATTTCGATGCACCATATGCTTTATTACTTATGTCTGTACCACATGTGGGCTTCCATGCTTCTTCAAGTTTTAAACCTCCTCTTTCTGTCAAAGTGCAGGCATCATAATTACATTGCCATGAGAACACCATATGTACATGCATGTAAATGCATATACATACATATGCTCATATACAGCTTCGCTAAAAAATTACATACATCTACAAATATTGTTTTCCACCCCAATTGCTAAATGCCTCTATGGAACTCATGTTTTATTGCAAGTGATTGTAAATTTCCAGCAAGTTGCATATATCTTCGTTTTGCCTATTTCATTCGTGGGCGTATGTGGAAACTAACATGTAATGGATTTAATGAGTACTTGAAATTATATATGATATTTTTCGGATAGATCAACAGTTCCAGTTTCTTTTTCTATCTTTTGGGATGGAGGTGCTTTATTTTAATTGTGCACTATCAATATTTTGATTTTTCTTAATTACTATAGATTTTTGGTAAATGTTAGAACCACATGTTTAGTTTCTATAAATTTTCACCTCACCTGATTTTGTCATCCTACAAGTGTGTGCTGGTGATGATATCAGGATTTTTAACTGATTAGGTAAAAAGCAAATTTGAAGTGCTATTATGTTTTATTTTGAAATTAAGTATGATTTTATCATCGTCATCATCATTATTATTGTTGTTCTTATTATTATTATGCTATTATCACCTGTTAGTATTCCGATTTCTAATTTAGATGTTAAATTTTTTTAGTTTTCCTGAAGAAATCACGTTTTGAACTTCTTTTTGCAGTACGGGTTAAACAGTGGTGACAAATATACTTCATCAAATCAGAATACACTGCTGAATGCAAAGTCCAAGTAGTGAAGATCAAAAGGTTTTGCATCTAATCTTTGGCATCAAAGTGTATATTGCCCCATGCTTAAGTCCATAATTATCTGTAAATGTGAGAAGTTCTGATGTACATAAGCCTAGCAATGGATCCCTGGTTTGGAGTTGATTTGGTGTTTTAGAATTTCTTTTAAGAGGATAAAACTCTTGGTTCCATGCCATACAATGTTGGCACTTTCATTTAAGTTTGTTGGCTTGGCTTGCATTATTTGCCTGAATTGATGAGTGTTTATTACCTTTTCGTTTGTGGTTCTTATCTACTATATTTTTATTGACTTTGTGCAATAACCATAATTTCTTAAGTCCCCTTGTTTTTTTTTTATTTTTTCCTCTGTTTTTGCCACCATCTACCTCTCATCACAAAAGAATCCACGGGCATGTGGACCTCACTTGGGGGGCTATATATGGCGCCAGATCCCCATCAAGATGTGGAGGAGATGCGAGGAGGTCAACATCAGAATTTCATTCTGAAACTGCTTTTACTTATTTTATGAATGGTGGATTCAGAAACAGTGATATTGCTTTTCTCACCGCCCAGAAATTTGTGGATCTAAAGGTTCTATTCATAGAATTCAAAATGTCATAGATGGTTCCTGCAGGCCACGAACACCTTGCTTACTTTCTTCCCACTTGAGCCTCCAGTATCTGGCAAATACTGCTGCATCTGGTAGTATTTTTTTTTTCTCATGTACATTATATTTTTTTCTTTTTCTGGACATTGTTGGGTATCTAGTTATAGTGGCCTACTGTATTCTGAGTTGATGGGGATACAGTGTGAAGTACAGTGATCACAACAAAGGAAGGAATCTTGCTTATGATGGTAAATGATTTTGTGTTTGGAGCTAGTGGTACTATCTTAGAGATAAAGGAAGAGAGAGAGAGAGAGAGAGCGAAAAGTAATTTGAGATCCAGAACTTACTTGATGGTGGAATCATCCTTCCTAAAGGTAAAGATTTTATTTGGCACGACAAAAATCATTTTTCGAAGGAGAAAATTCTCAAATAGTTGACGCAAATATAATAGTGGCAGGTAAGGATCCAATTATGGTGACTCAGCAGCAAGCACGGTAGCATATTTTTATATTCTTAGCTTGGATCACAAGGAAAGCCGATATTAATCATATTGATTTGGGTTAAAATCTCCAACTCATCCTAGATTTTATAATATATAAGGCCACTATCTGATTGAAGGATGGTATATTTTAATGCCCTTGTTTCGAAATTGAGATATGGTATCTTCATATCTACCATTTTGGTTAGTTTACAGTAGATGTTGATCATTAATCTGAAAATAATTAAACTGTCAGCAATTGATAGATACTTCAAGTATGAATATGGTTAACTTAGAATTAAGGTACCATAGAATTTTCCTTAACTGAAAGTGATTCGGAAAAGGACAAAGCATTTATGCATATCCCCCCACCCCATGTGTGTGTGTATATATGCAGGTACCTGTGTATGTGAATATAGTGGAGGTGTTTTGTCGTTTTGATGTATGTATGGGTCTGAAGGGCGAGCAATTTGCGGGATCCCATGAATGGAGTGAAGTTATTTATGCTCCACGCTGCTGGGCAGTTCACGAGATAGAGTGTTGGCCTATTATATTTTTGAGAAGTGATTTAATTTATTTGGGCGGAGTTGAGAGCCAGGCTTCAGAGTTAATTTCTGGCATGGGCATGTGGGAATATTCTTCTTATTTTATTTTTTCACCCATTTAATAAATGAAGTGAATCTTTCTGTGCCAGGATTCACCAGACCATCCCTCTCTTGGTGGTGGCTTCAGTAGTTTCATGTGGAACATCATTAATCGGAGTCACCTCCAAAACATGAAATTTCTTAATTTCAATTTTGTTTGTTTTCTTGTTTTCTCATGTAAAACCCATATCTGTCTACTCCGAGTTTTCTTGTTTCCTTCTTTTTTCTGTTTTTACCACTAGACTTGGTAGGAATTCAGTCAACCCCATAATTAAATAACCTGTTAGCCTAAATTATTTGTAACCTTGAGTTAAACTAACCTGCTCTACATCCAGATCGTAAAATAAATCTATTCGGATCTGATCCATTCGATTGCTCACCTGTTTCTTACTCATCAAAGTTTTACTAGAAATAAAATAATTGATTGTGGAGTTGCAGTTGATTTCTCTTCACAGTCAAAAGAAAGTATCTACCTCAGTGGTTATCACTTTTTTTTTCGTGTCACTTTTGAGTTGCACCTGCCATAAACATCCCTCAATAAAACCTCCACTGACTGGGATTTTTTGTTTTTTTACAAGTAATGAGAAAGGGGTCATGTATTTTAAGATTTCATGCTTTGTCGCTGTAAGCGTCAGAAATGGATACACTGTTTGGGGCCCTAATTTGCTTTTGTATAAAAAAAAAAAAAAAACCTTTAAGAGTGGAAATTAGTGGCAGAAAAACCCAAAATGTTTCTTATAAGTACTTGCTTGGAAAGACAAAGAAAACATGCAAAGCAAAGCCTTTTTCCATCTTTTCTATCGCGACTGTTTGTCACTCGGTAACCATCAGCTGTGCTGTACGTAAATGCGTCCATCTCTCCCCAAAGAGACGATTTACTTCCTAAAATCAGCAAGACAACTGGGGTCGCCTCGAAAAAAATCTGACGCTTTTCTTGTTTAATAATTGATTGATAAAAATCTACAACATTTTGTTTCATTCAAAAATAAAATATGAAATTAGAATGCAATGTGGTTCTAGTAGCACGTAATTTTTAGCTTTTTTTAGTTTTTTTTTTTTTTTTTTTTTTGTGGTTCTTGATAAGTGAAAAAACATAACTCCAATATTGAATTGATCCAATTATATTATCGAATACAAAAATCATTGTTAAAATTAACATCTCACCTGATCAAAATCTGATAATAGAATGGAAATATTAGAAAAGCACATACGGTCTGATGCATCGTCAGAAAGTAAGGTTTTGAGCAAATTATCAAGAAAATACTAATTTAATCAATTGCATGGTCAAAACAAATTAAGGTGGGCAAAACCCTCACTGTTGACATCGAACACAAAGATACACAAATAATAAATAGTAGAGGGAAAGAAAGCATTTCATCACATTCAAACCCTGCTTGTTAAATCAACTACAGCCTCTTCCAGAAGCTCCTCCAGCAACTTCCCCTCTATTTCCTTTCCCAGGTTATCAGTTTCTATTTCCAAGCTCTCTGCCCACCCTTTACCTACCACCTCCTTCCTCACTACACTGTCCACCACCAGGCTGTTCCTGTCCCCACTGTCACCCAAACCATACTTCAACTCGCCTGAAAACCAGTCTTTCATTTGGGCCCACACATGCTCCACCAGTGCTGGTAATGTATTGTCTGCGAGCCTGGTCTGGGTCCCACTACATGACAAGGACCTTGTGCTCCTGTCTGCCTGATAACCTGTGAGTGCCGCTAATGCTGCATTGACACAGTCGAACGCAAGCTTTTGGTTTGACCTCCATTGTCTTCGTTTTGCCCCGTGCAAAGCTACTTTCTCATTCAGGCTGGCATACCGGTCTATCAATGATGGATCTAACGGACTTCTTGTTGAGTGCCACCTGGTTAGAAATGAATCAAAGTTAATTTCACCGTCAAGACCGGCTGCCGATAGTAGCTTCTTGACAAAAAGAAGCCAATCCTGTTCTTCATCAGCATCTTTGGAAGCTGATGACGGTTTCATGGAATACGGAGTAGCTATCTCCATACGTGAATCATCCCATGACAAGGTCCGGGCAACCGATTCTATCGGTGGTGATTTGTCAATCAAGTTAGATCTCAGAGGCAACTCCATTACTGCATAAAAATTTAAGAGAATTGTAAGCACCCGAGCTCGACATAGTAGAAACATAAACAACAAAATGTTAAGTTCAAAGCTAAACCCAATAACAACTTACCCCCGAGATCTGGTTTGGTATTACCAGAAGACTCTGGAACTGTGTTGTCATCTTCTTCGAACGACACCTCCAGAACTGAGATTGGGCTTGGCTGGTCGTGATTCTCACTTGCATTTCCAGATAAAACAGGCTTTGTCAACAACCCTGCCTGCGAAAGAAATTAAAATGCTTGATGATTAGATGAAATAAACAGATCAAGAAACAAATTGAAAAAAGGTTTGGTATATGGAAAACCTCTACTAAAGCCCCCCCAGAAAACATCATCTAATCACCAACTTGGAACTCATCCATGACTAACAATGATTGACCCAAAAAAAAAAAAGAACTTGCACGAGCACTAAAAACCATTTTGATTAGTTGTTTTTCTTCAAAAGTTTGCTGGTTCAGAAGCCATACAAAATTTCTGCCAACAACCATGTCAGGTAAGCATCGTTTTCACAATCAAAAGTCGCTGCATTGCATACCATTCTGAAGTCAGATGACAAATAGATAGATTGAGACCAATAGAAGTGGAAGTTCTATATGTTGACAGATGACAAATAGATAGAAGCACCAAATATCTAACCAGCAGAAAAGAAAGCAACTAGACCAACAAAATCTACCACTGAAGCTCTCATGACTATCTTCTAGCAAAGTTGCAAGTCTGAACACTACCCAAAAGAAGTCCAACATCAACAGCACTGAAGTCTAAGCCTAGCAATATCATAATGGCAACTAATGCAGTTTTCTTTAGTACAGGTACTTCAAATGCTAAGCCAACTCAAAACGTCCTATGTCATCCCATAGTAGATGCACCAATACAACCCAATACAACAAATACCTAGTTTTACCTCCCACCCCAATCAATAAAACAAAAAAAAAAACATACTGGAAGAAAATATCAAAAGAACAAACAATAACATGCCGTTCCATGCACAAAATAATGAAAGAACTGAATTACCTCTCGAGAAACTATGTTCTGTTTCCATCCTGTGCCAATTAAATCCGGGGAGGACATTTTGCTTGATGATCCATGCAGACCAGGAGACAAGCATTCTTCAAGGCCACCAGAGTTAGCACACTGGGTTGCATAATCACCAGTTTTTGCTGCACAAGTTACAGGAGAACCAGGGGCTTTCAATTGAGTTTCATCTCTAGATTCAGATGCCGTAGATTTTTCTTTATTTGATTTCTTATTCCTGGAGAAAAATAGACTTGAAACTTTCCCTTTAAAAGATGATTTTGTGTTCTTAGCCTTTGTCAGCTCCTCAGGAACTAGTATTTTGCCAGATTCATGATCAGAAATTTCAACATTGAGCCGAGCTCCATACACCGTGGAAGATACAGGGACTGACTTTGATCTCAGAAGATTTTTAGGAGAATCATTTACATCTTCTTCCTTAATCATATTACTAGTTGAGCATGATGTCGACCTTTTTGTCTCTTGTTCCTTATTGCTAATCTCTTCCTCCAATCTCACTGGCCTCTTTATATCTGAAAGTGCAAGCATCTCTCCCAGTGTACTAGAGCTTCTCCGGACATGTTTCTGCTCCTGAAAATTCCCATTTGACGTCATTAAAGCCCATCTTTCAGATAGCCGCTTCTTTGCCTCTCTGCAAACTGATGACTCTGGAGAACATGATGCATGGCTGAAGGAGCAAGAAGAATAAGGACTATCAAACCTATTGACATAACCCCACGAATGCCTAGATGTTGGTGACATGACTTCTGAATCACTGAGATTTCCTGCCTCATATTCATTTTCTGATTTGTTACATGAACTATCATCTCCAATATAGCCATTGGAAAAGACAGAAGATATAAGAGTTTCATCCCTTTCGGTGACCCATCAGATTTTCACGCATCTGTCGTGTAATTTCCTTTGCCACCTCTCTTGATTCTCTTGCCTCATCATCTTCTTGTTCCTCGTAATAGCCTTCAACAGGTAAAACTGCAGAAGATGAGGGAGACGTAGGAACTACAGTCTTTATATCATGAGTCTTAGCTGGACTAGGTTTCAATACAACTATTCGTGTTGGTTGTGTAGGAAATTCTTCAACTCTCTGATTGGGCAAAGGAGGAGAACATCCAGGATTGTTGCCATCCCAACCGGTTGTCGGGACCACTTGGACTGGTTTCTTTGCCTGTTTATCACTCTTCTTCCCTCTGACAGCAAATTTTTCATTATCAACCACCTTAGAAGGTCTTAGAACAGTAATGCGCTTTGTCTCAGGAGGTGGAGGAATGGACTGCAACTCGTACATATGCTGAGAGAACATGGAATTTGGTTCCTGCAAAATCTTGAGTAGTAGATCTCTGTTGGAACTCAAAACTTCCAAAGCATCTTGGAACTCCTTAGACTTGCGGAGTTTTTCATCTGTAGACAGACGTTTTGCTTCTATGAACTTCTGACGAACGAAAGCCATCCTTTTTTCATTTATGTTTTCAGTATACCTTCCTTTTCTTGGAGAATTATCTCTTGCATAATTTGTTTTTGCAGAGTGCTGCCAGATTTCATAGACATCTTTATATGTGTTATGCTCTTGACATTTGTAAGCTTCTGTTTGCATTTGCTTGTCCATAATGCTATTATCTTGCTCCCAGTACTCCGCTGACATCCCCGAATGACTTAAAGAACATCGTGAATAACCTTTTAAGGAGCTTCTATGAGCAGCTGAATTAGGTTGCTGCAGCGGGAGTGTGTCAAGACCCATTAACTTCGCAACCAAATTGGGAGGGCTATGCTTGAAGTCCATTTCCTTCGACATTTCTTGAGCAATAAGCTTCTTCATTGGTGTGCCATTTGGTTTGTTGCTTGAAGCAGTTCTCCTCAACTCAGAAACAATCTATACACTCCATACAAATATAACAACAGATTAGGACGCAATGAAATATTACTATGATATAACTCAACTGCAAACAATTCAGACAACATACGATAAAATATGTTTCATATTCGCTTACAATAACTAACAAAAGCTACTAAATTTACCAATTTATCCTCTATCTGATCTCCAAAAGGACTAAACATTCGAGCCACATCAGATTGACTCCTTGAGAGTGAGGAACCTGCCAATCAACCACCTCAATGTTAGAAACAGCTGGATGTATATATAGCTTATGAATAAATCAACAATTAAGGAATACAAAACTAAAGATACTGCAAGCAACCAAGCTAGTCTGAGCATCACATTAAGTGCTAGACTATATTTTGAAGAAAGAATTTGTGATGATCTAAAAGCCCAACTGAGTTAAGAATGATATCCACATCAGCCCAAAAACATCTCCTTATTAAAATATGAAAGGAGGAGGGAGGGAAGCAGGAATCCGTCCTATAAGATAATAAACAAACATCAACTAGAAAGAATCAAGCTGCGAAATTGGCCCACAATTTTTTAGTCTGAAGACGACCAAAAAGTTCATGCATGTGGAACTGAGTGAACATCCAATAAAAAAATCAACCACAGGGGTCAAGCAAATATATAAATCTGATTAGTTGTCAAGTTGCAAATAAGAGAACTATTAATCACATACTAGTAATCGTGCAACAAATGCTTTAACCCTTGAAGGAAGAAAAGAATGTTCTGACTTTAAGGATCTAAAAAATTTGTAATAAAACATTAGTAAGCAAGACTCACCGTCATGATGTGGTTTATCCATCAGCAGCCTGTTTCCAGCAACTCCTG